TATATTTATATATATCAGGTGTGCTTTGAAAACACACTGCAAACTAAATTCTATTACATTGTTTTGTTGGTGGCATAAATCTCACACACATCTCTCAAAACCTGAGCAAATACAACCAAAACTGTCTACAAGCCTATATAAGTGAGAAACTTAGTATTTTTGGTAATTTGCTGGACCTAGTGCTTTAAGTTCAAATGTCTCAGTATCTCATGAAGAAGGTGGACTTTTTTGTCAAGTTATTTATTGAGGCACTTGACACAAGCCATGGAATGTACAAATCAAATAAAACACATTTAAGGTATTTTTCACATTCTTGCATCTGTAAACACAGTAGAGATAATACATTCTGAAAGTTAATTCACATTGTACTGCCGCCCCTACTGGAGAGACACGTGAGAAAAAGAAAACCACCTCGCTCAGGATCGCGTGCAGTATATAACAGCTACACACAGTGTACAAAACGGCAGTGGAGTCAAATACAAAACTATTACCTATCCCCCATTACAGTAACTAGCAACATGTAGTAGCATGTGCTCTCATTTTACATAATGTGTGTAAGAGGTAAGTAAACTGGGGATGAGGCATCTAAGTCTATTTAGCAGTACAAGAACAATTCTCTATTTCAGAAAACGGATCATTATTAATAAATATATAAATACAGTAGCTATATTTTTATCAGTTCAAATATGTCCACTCCATGGCAATCACAGAAATCGTTTAGCTTATAAGTTACTTTTTGATGCTTGTGACCCTGTTCCTTAAAAAATGTGTTCATGCCAGCTTTGTAGAAACGTCGAAGGCCAAAGTAAAAGCTAAATATCTGTGGGTGTGGAGGTGGATAAGGCTGCTGTTGAGCTACTGTTTATGAAAAAACACAGCATGAGGTTTAAACGTGAAAGCTACAGCGCAGGTTGTGAAAGCTCTTGGATGTTTGTACACCCTGTTGTCCACTAGTGAAGCTGGGCCTGACAAAACTAACTCTCCAGTCTAAACAGCTGGCTCAGCTGGCACTCACATCAGTAAGGGTCAGTGACAGTAAGGCTGTACTTAAGGGAATATTCCACCAAAAATGTTTTGAATAACAAACATTCCCTACTGTACCTGTAGGCTTGTATGCAAAATACAATTGAACCTCTGTTTATCATTTACAGCTAATGTGGCCAGATTATTTACTCTATAATTTTGATGGGAATTTGGGAATTTTAAAGACCTTAGCAGTTTTATATTATACAAATATATAAGTATGCTTTTCATTACCAAAATTACATTTACAGTTGTATGAAGAAAGATTTGAAGCTAATAAAATTGGAACAAAATATCATTAAACATAAAATCTAAATAAAAAACTAACTTTTACATTATTTTAAGTGGCTGCTCAAACATTTCTTAGAGAGGAGGGAATGCAGGAATTCTAAGCCATGACCTCAATATTTCCTGGCAACTACATAACTGTGATTGACAACTAACTGTATTTAGCCATATTTTGGAGAAACTGTTTTGAAAAAACTGATTTTGGACAGTGGAGAAGTGGATGATGCTGCAGCCAACATGAAACCGAGCCATTTAAAGCCAACAGGCAGTGTTTGATTCTGAAAACGTATGTTTCCTACAACATGCTGATGCTCAATCTGCTGTAACCGCCATCTCTACAGTGTCCCGGGCTGACTGATCTGTGCCAGTCTCTGTGTTGTTTGGCATTTATGTTGTAGTTAGTGGCCTTGTGGTGAGGATATGATCGTGTTTACACAAGGATGATAAACACTTAATGCTCTGCCTGAGATCTTTTATCTCTGTCATAACATGGGAAATCTGCTTCCAACCTGTTTAAACAGGCACATTGCATCTGTGCCCCACAGATTTACAAACTCCATCTTTTTAATTCAGCCTCTTAGCCCATCCCGTTCTGTGGCGTGAGGCTCTCCCAGGGGCAGATGATCTCTTTGGCTCCCACTCCGCTGCGAGATGCAGCCCTGTTCTCCTCCTCCTCATCCTCAGACTCTATGGGGTAGATACGGCATTCTGGAGGAATATCCACTTTAATCTGGAAAAAACTGGAAGTTTGCAGAATGGACTTGATAAAACACAGGTTAAAATGCAGTGCAGTCAGAAAGCATGAGGACACTGTTAGCTTTACTCCAGAACATTAGATTACAAATGCTAAATAAGTATGAGGTTAGAGCTATTTTCATTGGTATATTTGTTTGGCTCACACTCACTTGCCAATCCGTCTGGGTGGAGCCTGAGTGGGCTGATCCGGGCTGATTGGTTGAATGCGGCTACTTGTCCCAGCAGCTGAGGGGCATTTAGGGGATAAGCTGGCAAACATGGTGGAGGGGGTGCAGCCCCGCTTCAGCAGACGACGCAGTGAAAAAGCCATGCGAGGCTTGGACACGTTCCCACCTATGGGGGCTCGAGTCTGAGGGTTCCCCTCGCCTTCTCCCTCACTGGTTTCCGCTCGCCGCTCAGAGGCTGAAGTGCTATCCAGGGCCACGCTGATGGGGGATGGGCAAGCCGGGGTGTGGGTCAGAAAGGGGAGAGAGGGCGAGGCGTTGGCAGATGGGTAGTCAGTGATGCCAGAGTAGACAGCAAGGTGTGGGACAGGCGTGGTGAAGCGGCACAGCTGTGAGGTCAGAGGGCAAGGAACACAAGTCACAGGACGTCTAGAGAGGGTTTCACTCCAGAAATAAATATGTCTGCAATTTCCTCCTATATATAGTTAATGTGTAAGCAAAATCACACAAACCATTATAACTATTATACCTACTTAAACACCATGATGTTCAGAGCAATAGTGGCGACATTATGATACACTGTGATGGTTTATAGAAGCCCTTGTAATGTACTATGCATAATACAGCTATTGCTTTATGTTATTCTGACAGTTAGTGAACTGAAATAGTGAAAAATGATAATCACAGTTCCCCAGATCCCAAGGTGACATTTTGATATTACAATCACATCTGAGAATCTGGAACTGCTTCAAGCTCAAACTATGAATCAGTTAACAACAGGGTTCAATTATTATTACAGTAGGCATCTCATTTTTTTGAACAGTAGATGTTTTGTATTTATACTTTGTGGAAGAAGAAAGACAGAGAAAGAAACAGGAAAAACAAAGAAAAATACAGGTAAAAAAGAAAAAGGATGGGAAATTATAGAAAGAAATGCAAAAAATAAAGTAAGAAGTACACGAAAACTGGAAAAATAGAGGGAAATGCAAATAAAAAGAGACTGGAAAAATAAAAATAGAAAAATAAAGGATACCTTGAGGCATAACTGAGACTTGTCCAGTGTCTTTGCCAACAATCAGGACAGATGCATGGACAGAATGACGTGAAAACAGTGGCTGAACGACAGCTCGAGACAAACACATAGACATGATGGTTGTTTTATTAACTTACTACTGATGACAAACAAAGCACATACACCGGTGCAGAATGTGTGTTATGCGAAATAAATGACAGACAACCGCTTGAATGGACACAAATGTAACAGATGTATGAGTACGGCTTTTGTCATTAGCCTGGTTTTCAGATGTCATTTACCAAGCAAAGAAATTTAAGTTATAGTGGAAAAACTCCAGAAAAGTGTCAAAGTGGCAAATGTCTCAAAACCTAGATAACTACTGTACATGGAAAACCAATACTGCACAGTATACAAAATAGTATCACAATACTACACTGGTAACAGATTTACTATTTAATGTCTATATATAACACTGGCTTTAATACCATGCAACTAAATTCTGATTGCATTTTCAGTACTGCACATTATTGCTTTCCGTAATGCTAACAACCACACTAGCATGACAGTGGTGTGCAGCACTGGGTTTGGATGATCTTTTTTGTGATATTCTGAGACTGAAACAATCACCAGCTGATTTTTTTTTTCCACAGAACGCCACATAGGAAACAAATCTTTGTGATTCTTTAACATTAGTACTGACACAGTCCATTGTTATTATAGATATTGATTATAATTTAGCATTAAAATGTAAACACTGTCATTAAGGGGGGAAAAAAACAGAGCTTCTATTTTAATAATTTCACAAAAAAATTCAATCTCAATTCTGAGTACTTAAAACTCCCACGTCACTGAACATCACGTTTGTGTTCACTTCTTAGGAGGAGGAGGATGCGGCGACACCTCATTCCTCTGCTTGCTGAGTTTGCTCATGACCTGTGTGATGTCAACGGTGGCACTGGCGGCCATCTTGGCCCTCTGCTCCTGCTCCTGCTGCCGGAGGATGATGGGGCTGAGACTGGGCCGTCTGTTCTTCGCATTCTGATCCAACTGGGCGTCACTAGGAGACCAGAAAGATTGATCCATGAAGACAGAAACAGAAAGAAGAGAAAGAACCAGCCAAGGGAAGAGGAGGGAGGGAATAGCAAAGTGAAAATTAAGTTTTGGAGAGGGACAGATGTGGTAATTTCAGGAAGCTACAGGGACACTAATATCAGCCAGAGAGATGACCAGTGTCACTCCCAAGGCACCCTTTGCTGTGAATAAACTTCCCTTTCTTTTCTGTATATGATTTACCATTTCTGACTCTGCAAGGTTTTATCAGACTGGTTGAAATAACCAAATTCTGTTGGTTTTTTTTCTTCAATTTATTGCCAATTTAAGCCATGGATAAGAGTTCAGCATAATCTGAAAAAGTATCTTACGTGAACTTGTGCTCCTCGGGACAGATGGCCTTCTTCAACGTATCCTTAAACACTGGCGATTTCAGGTAACGGCCGTAGGAGTCCTGCAAAATATATATTATATATATAAACTCGTCATGAATCTGTGGTGTTTGATGCAGGTGAGTACAAGCTGTTGGAACATAAAATGCCACCATTATCTTGTGGTTGAACCCAACTGCTGGTGTGTTTACTAACCTTCTTCATGAGCATGTAGATGTGAGTTTGGGCTGCATCCAGGACGTATCTGTGTGGGTGTTTCAGGCCATTCACTGTGATTTCCATTGTCTTTCCATCGATGTTGATCCACCGCGGTGCACCACGTGCCAGGAAGGTTCTGGGATCAGGAGAGTGGGAGAAACAGACAAGGACTGTAACTATTTTGAGGTACTTGTACTTTATTTGATCATTACTTTTATCTGTAATTGAGTATCTTTACAGGCATTAATACTTTTACTTCATGGCAACTTCCTGCCTCTGACTATCAGGCTGATGACTAGACTAAACCCTTTAGCTTTATTTCCCACCTCTACTGCTATTATCATTGATCAGAGAAGACAAGAAAGACATTACTTGTAGATCTGCTCTGCTTTCTCTCTCATCGTCGCAGCAGTGCCCCATTTCAGATCTTCACAACTCTCCCAGAATGCCAAGTTCTCACCTGAAGTGGTTTGGAATAAATTAGAACATAACAGAAAAAAAGTATAGTCATCATGCTTTTCTTAGAACCTTCTAATGGCTGGAAAATTAACATTGCAAAAAAAAAAATCTACAGTGCAGCAAGTTTGCAATAATAGCACTTGTGTAATCTGTGCCGTTCCACTATTTTTGTCTATCTGATCTAATTAACCATCGCACCGCTGAATTCTTTCTTCAGGAAGAGTCTGAAATCGTCTCGTCCTCGAGGGTCTGACAGCAGCTCTCCGAAGCTGAACGTCCACCTCTCCACACGCATTTTAGTCGGTATTTCTACACTGTTACACACAAATAACCACAGAGAAAGAAATTCATCAAAGTATATACACAACTGAGCTTTTTAAATTTATACTTCAACGTTCAGTTGAACCCCTGTAATAGTGAAGACAGTATAAATCATGCTGCATCCTCAGCTGACTCACTTGGGCATGTTCAGGGTCCAGTATGTGACATCATCAGTCAGCCAGGGGTTGCTGGGAAGACACTTGGACAGGAAGGGGTCATGGCTGTTGTAGGTAGCACAGTACTTTACCAATCTGCATGAACAGGGAAAAGTAATTTATTGTCTAATGTGTGAAGAAAGTAACTTTTTCTCTACAGGCGATCATGAGCCAAGTTCACATCACAGGCCTTAAAAGACAGGTTTGGGATTTTTCAAGTTGGTCTTAATACAATACTGACATACTAACTTCTCCTACTCTCCACACTGACTCTCAGCCAGACTACACTGTAAATAAATAAGGGACTAAATATACAGCATGTATTCTAATGTATTCCAAAGCTCAAATGAAGCTTCATCTGACCCACTAAGTTAATTTGAGTTGGTTTGTTGCTTGTCAGATCTTTTTGTGTTGATGTCACTTACAAACCTGAATGTGAGGCATGTATTTAGCTCCAAGGTGAACACACTGCTGAGGTCCTGAACTGCCACATAGATTTAAATGTAATGTGAGCCACATGTGTATAAGAATAACAGCAGTAACGTCATTTGTGTGACAGTCAAATTGCACAGTTTCCTCAGAAACTACCCGATTACAATATGTTCCTTCCAGTTTGGTTTGATCAAAAGCAAAATGTTCAACAGAAGTGAAATTTCATCATCTCTCCACTGACCCCGATCACTGTTGGTGCTTTCCTCTAGGTTTATTTTTCCTGGTTTTTGAGGAATCAACATTGTTAAATATGTGGACTGACACACGTAAAGAGAAGTGAGATGGTGAAAAAATACCTCATGAATTCTGACCTGACCGCTCTGACTGTGCTCACATAGAAAGAGATTGTATACGAATCAGATGTAGGACCATATATGAAGTGGCCCCAGTCTCATTTAAAAATCTGATTTGGATTGTTCACACACCCATGAAAACATCAGATCTGAGTCATCTGGAGGGAAATAAAAATTTGATTTGCATCACTTCATCATGTACTGGGAACAAGCCACTGAACCTGCAGTTACTGTTTGTGTATCATTCCCCACCTGCAGGTCAGTCAGTGAAGATGTACGTTTGTGAAGTTTGCTATTTGCTATTAGAGGAGAAGTGGGAATAGGACGGGCTGTCTTACGCGCCAATGGACACAGATGACTTCACTCTAGGTCTCATGATGGACTGCTGGGTAAAGATCATCTACAGAAAGCAGAGGTGAGACGCCAGCCATTAAAATAGAGAAAAAATAGAGTTGTCTCTATAGATAGATGCTAAGGGTTAATACAGCTCTTGGTTTAGATGAAACAGGGTGAGAGAGAAGTCAAAGAAAGAGTGGAAAATAAATTCTCACTTACAATTCTCTCGTAGAAGTCATGGGTTTTTGCCTGAGGATGAAAATATATCAGATGTTATTACAGATTGTCATATCACAGATTTTTAAAAACTATGTTTATTATCAATGCTATCACTTAAACTGATGATACAGACTTTCACAAAAGATGCATTCAAGTATCCTCGTCTCCTCAGAGCAGAAATACAGTAAGAGCTTTGGGACGTGGACCGGAATGACTTCCAGGTCGAGCAAGTAACAATAATATAAAGGAACTGGGATTTACCTTTAGTCTGATGAGTAAAATGAGTGGAGAGCCCCTTTAAGTAGGTTTGGCATGTAGTTTTGATGGTCAGTTTAGGGATACATGCATTATGTCAAGTACAAACATGTGCATGTGTGTGTGTGTGATTCATAACCAGTTTAAAAGTCAGATTACAAAAAGAGCCATGGGAAATGCCTGCAGGGAAGAGAAGAGAAGAGAAGAGAAAAGAAGAGAAGAATTTAGTAAAAGAAAAGTGCGCTATTTGAAACTGCAGAGAGGGAACATAAAAGGAAGATAAGCCGCCTTTGCTCCACCTGCAGCTATGCATCGAGGCTTCTTACTGAATATAAGCTGACTGACAGGAATCATGTTCATACAGGTCATGCAGTGACTCACCTGTTACCTCATCTGCATTAGGATCTACTCGTCGATCCAGTCCGTAGTCCATGGCACTCACAGTCCCTGGCTACACACACGTGCACACACATCAACAAAGACAAAAATACACAATGTGTGTTTACCAAAGGAGTAATTCATTAAAGCAGATGGCTGTTTTATTGTGCTAATCATAGGCTTATAATGTGTCCTACTTTTCCTGACCATCTGAGACAACCAGTCACATGTAAAATGTGATTTTGTGGATTCACTCCTGAACAGCTACAACGCCAAGTAGTTTGTTTCCAGCAGCAAAAAATGTACTGACCTGAATGTGCAGTATATATGGAATAAATCTGTAACTGGATTATATTAGCTCACATGGAAACATATTATAAATAAGTTCTACAAACAGTATGTGACAGTCAAATAACATGCAGACTCAGGAATCCTCAGTAAAGCTTCGTAACAACAGAATGTCATGGAAAGTTTCATCAGTTAATTTGGAGGGTTGTAGTGGGTTACTGGTTACACTAATCTTTGATTTAATTATGGATTTTAGCTTATTGTACTGGATGAACTGTTCTCTCTGAACTCCGTACCTCTGGATCAGTGTATTAAATGATATGAACTGGTTATTTTCAAATAGGTGATGTAAGTGAGTGATTCCTTTGTGTTGCCATGTTGGGAAATAGACAGTTGCCATGTTGGCAAATGGATAGGGTTATTATGCAGTTGAAAATCAGGGTTGTGCCAAATTGGAGTGTATCTACATGGTGCGAGTGATGATTTAGTGATTTTGTTTACTTTCCACCAGGCTGTCAGAGTTGAGAGGAGTGTGATGTTCTTACAGTAGTTCATTTTCTTAATAGAGTTTGGTAGAAAAGGGAGGTCTGCAACTGAGTTATTTTTGCTCTAATTCTATCCATGCACTGTTGTAACTGCCCTGAATCCATTTGACTAAATATTGTAGCTGATTTGCTGAGTAGTAATATTGGAAATTTGGTTGCTATAGACCACCTAGTGATTTCTTCTTTTGGAGTGTAGATAGAGAAATTTTGGGTTTCTTGTTTTCACAATTTTATTGGAAATTTATAGAATCAAGTCATTTAAACCATTTATCTGTGGGTGTTGTGGGAAGCATTGTAAACAGATAGTTGATTTGAGGTAGAGTTTTCATTTTGACAGTAGCTATTCGACCAATGAGTGAGAAAGGAAGATTGGACCAACATTTAAAATCATCTTCTATCTTTTTTAGCAAGGAGGTGTAGTTGAGATTAAAAAGTTCTGACAGCCTGGGAGAGATATTAATACCAAGATATTTAATGTTGCCTGTGCAGAAGTGGGGGGAGGAGTCTTGAGCTGCAGAATCCTAGGCATCCCCTCAGAGAGTGGTAGTATGGCAGATTTATCCCAATTTATTGTATAGTTTAAGATCTTAGAAAATGTGTTAATGTGTAATGTTTCCTGTAGAGAATTGTAGGGATCCTGTAAATATAACAATACATCATCTGCATAAAGACTAGAGTAAGTATCTTGTATTCCTTTAATTATATTGTTCTGTCGTATAGCTGCTGCTAGAGGTTCGATGAAAATGGCGAATAGAGATAGTGAGAGTGGGCATCCTCATCTGTAAAATGAAACTTTGTGACCTCATCCCGTTTGTTCTTATTGTCGCCCTAGGTGATGTGTACAGTGTTCTTATCCAATGAGTGAACGACTCTCCAAACCCAAATCTGCATAATGTCCAGTTAACTATGTCAAATGCTTTCTCTGCATCTAGTGATAAAATTATGGTTTTGGTTTGTTTTTGTTGTGCAAGATTAATCAAATTAAATAATCTACGGATGCTATGTGAAGCATTTTTGTTTTTGATGAAACCTGTTTGATCTGGGTGGATTAATATGAAATTATGAAAATTACAGATTCCAAGAAAATAATATCCAAGCTATATGAACTCATATCAAATACAGATTCAACAATAACAATACCAAAATTCAAATGGGAAAATGATTTAACTCTCCCCCTCAACTCCAACTTCTGGACAGAAATTTGCAATAACATCTTTTCTATGACCAGCAACATAAACTTACAACTTATACAATACAGGACCATTTATAGGACCCATATTACAGAAAGTAAAATGTTCAACATGGGTTTCACTGACACAGACATCTGTTCACAATGCACTCTAGGTTGCACTGACAATTATTTTCATGCTACTTGGACCTGCCAACCAGTTCATTCCCCCTGGATACGTAGCAGTGACAGAGAAACTTTCCACCATCTTGGGCTGTAGAATCCCTCCTTCTCCATCACTTTGTTTACTCAGTAATATCATAAAAATCAACCACCTACCAATCAAATACAAAAACCCACTCATCATTTCTCTATCTATTGCCAAGAAAACAATCTTTCAAAACTGGAAATAAAAAAATCACTACACATAAACCACTGGACCAACCTACTGTTATCATCATTATTATTGGTATTTATTTATTTATGTTTTTATTTATTTATTTTCCCTCCTTTTCCTTTTCTTTCATTTCATAGACTGCATAAGTTAGAAATACCCACACTTCACACCCTCACACCCTACAATCTTGTAAAACACTCTATATCTTTTTGTAAAGTCATGTATCTGTTTTCTTGTCTCCCATGTTCGGTCCTGTTTTGTTAATGTGTTACTTTGTTTCAATTAAAAAAACAACAACAACAACAACAACAAAAATGTCATGGAAAGTGTCCTCTTCCAAAAATGCTCTCAAAAAACTGGGTAAAAAATTTTGGCTGAAGGAAAAGTGATATATACACTAGTTAGCAAGCTTGTTTCTGTCATTTTATTCTTATTCGCAGCATTTTAGGAAATAAACTTATATACTTTCTTGCCAAGAGTTAGATGAGATGTCAATACCACGTCTGTGTATTCAGTACAAAAGCAGCCACAAAGTGATTGGCGTAGCGTAGCATAAAGGCTAGAAGCAGGGGGAAACGGCTAGGCTGGCTGGTGTCAATGTTCATAAATTTTAATTATATTAACAATAACACAATCCTCTTAAAATGAAATTGAATTCATAAGCAATAAAAAGCGTCTTTGCTCAGTTTACTCGGGTGTTTTGCTGCTACAGCCTTAGTTTGGTCTGGTATGACCTTTAGTGTTAGTAAACTTTAGTTGTTGCTGTATAACTGATATGTCTGAGAGTTTTCTGACTGTATGATTTTTTCCAACTGGTGCTTCTGTATGAGGATTTACCATGATCCTGTAACTATCACTTACTCTTTTAAACATTTGCTAGTTGCAGTTCAGCAAAAGTTGTGAGTCAGTAATCCAGCCTGACAACACAGGATGAATACAGACTCTCAGTGCCACAAGCACAAGGTGCAAACCACTGCATAACATTCTCCTACATAGTGTGAAATATTAATCACTTGTGCCCTTTCCCTCTGACTGGACATGTAATGATAATGAGGCATCATGGGTAGAGATAATGAGATACCCTGGGAAGTAAAGAGGAGGAGTGCAATTTATTTTCACGCTTCTCTGTCGCTGGAAATCCACTGTTATCTACATGGAGCTGTGTGCGGAGCACAAGTCCAATAACTGTGTGTGTGTGTCCTTGTTTTTCTATACTTGTGTAACCCAAAATCAGTGAGTTATTATCTTTGCGGGGACCAGAAGTCACTTGTGGTGACCGGAGGGTGGTTCCCATGACATAGTTCATTGAATTTTATGAAAACGAAGGGATGTAAGGTTGGAGCAAGTGTCAGCTCTGGCTAGGGTTAAGGTTAGGCAAGTAGCAGTCTCTTGGAAATGAATTTAAGTCTATGTAGGGATCCAGTAAGTGATGAAAACAAGGATGTGTGTGTGCGTGTGTATTCTCACTGGAGGTCTGTGAACCACCCAGTAGGCTCTCTCCTGGCAGTCAAACACCACACGGTCTGGTTTCTTCCTCTCCTTTGCAGCCCTAAAATTGTGCACAAACACACAGAATCATAACACCTTCTTGACCTTAAAATCCAGTGATGTCTTTGAGATTCTCTCAAACCTACCTGTACTGTTCTTTAGCTTGCATCACTATGAAATCCCATTTATGATTCATCCACTTGTGAAGACGGTTATACTGCTCCTGAGGACATAAAGTAACACCCTCAGTAAATGCCAGCAAACATAATTTCTCATGGGTCTCTCAGTCTTGTTCTCACCTGCTCATGCAGCTCCAGGATTCCTTTCTTACGTATGTTTCTTTTTGCCAAGTAGATTGCTTCGGTAATAAAACAGAAAGGAGTGTTAGCTGAGTGTGTTGATAACAGGAAATGAGGTCAAATGTAATCATGCTCACCATAATCTGTATCCTCAACAGGCCACTGCTGTGTGGGCCAGAAGTACGGTGTCTGGAAAGGACAAAAGACAGAAGTGACACAGAATCAGAAGAGTTATTGTGATTTATTGTGACAGGTCAAACACAAAACTGGGCTAATTTACTGTTACTCTAGAATCCAAAATGAGACCAGTTTGGGGATTTTTATTACAAAATAAACACGTATTTTCTGCCCCTCTAATGGGAAACTCTTTGGACAGGTTAAGCAGAAATTTACTAAAATGAAGCTTAAAAGTAGGAATGACCCCAAGTCCTCAGTGAAGGCTTTGAGAGTTTTGCTAAGGATCTGACATGTGTGTTCACCTGAAAGCGATAGAGAGAGGCATCTGGCTTGACCACTAAGCGTTTGTGGTCTTGTAGAGGGTAGATGTATCCTAACGCTACCAGCATAGAGCCAAATTTCCTCGCCTCTGAAGTCAACAGACATGGGGACAAGCAGAAATTCACTGATTATATTCACTTCAAAGGAAGGTTCATGGCAATTTTAATTACTTGAGAAGACATAGTAAGACCCACTTTGATGCTAATGTTATAAATACAAAAAAAGACTCCTTTAACTGACATACTCTGTGTATCATGTACATGTATGTTGACCGCATCTCTCACCTTGTGTGTCTATTTGAAATCTGTCCGCTAGCCATGCAATTATGTCTTCACCTGAGGAGAAAAGCCACATATGATAAATCAAATAGAATATGTCAAAAATATGAAGCACTAGTTAGAAAAGCAGCTCTGACAGAGAACAACAAGACATAAGTGTTGCATATGTCGACAGGTGGGTGGGAGTGTGCCTGTAAATGCCAGACCCCTCTCGAAAACACCATGACCGATAGCTTGTGTGTCTCTACAGCTAATGGGGGAGACAGAGGAAAGGAGGAGGAAGACAAGGGAATCTGTGGAAGAATCACAATGGGAAACAAAGTAGAGAAAAGAAGAGAAGGGGAAAGGAAACAAATCTATAGGAAAGGAGGAAAGAGGCCTGGGAACGATATGAAATTAAACAAAGGGAGAGGAGAAAAGAGGGGAGGAAACAACAGGAGAGTAAAGGAAAGTTTATCAAATAAGGAAAGGAAACAAAAGGAAAGAAGCAGAGAACAGAGGAGCAGTTCCTTAGTTTTATGTTGCAAGTGACGTAGAAGTCTAGGTTCCCTGTCTGTTTCTTCTCCTCCTCCATCACCACCTCCTCGCTGTCTCTCTGTTTTTCTCCTGTTTGTGTTTGCTTCTTTTCCTCTCGTTCGCTCAACCATCATCATCCTCCTTCACCTCCTACTTTGCTCCCTCTCTCTGACTCCGAGATCACTGGGGTTGTCATGGAGATGAAATCTGTAGCGCTCGAGTTTGAGCCCAGAGCTCTGGTATCCTCCACTGAGGCTATGCAGGCACAATCACTCAACCAGCTGCAGAATAACATCCTGTGTACTACTTTATATGTGCATTCATCTGTGTTTGTATGCGTGCGTCAGTGTGTTCTCCTCACCGGTAATAGCATGTGGTATCGTTGTGATAACCAATCTCTGAGGCTGTGACTTCACACCTGTTTTGGGGTCCTGCATCTCCAGCAACACCTTTTCTGCCTGCAAACAAATATAAAGGGTTACCACAACAACAGAGGTTACCAGGTCAACGGGTTGCTATTACACTTAATAGGTCGGAGGGAAAATCTGGCCAGAAAACTGTATTTTGTGGAGAAAAGCAGGTAATGGATTTTTGTGAATGAAATCTGCTCCAGAATTATTCATTGTGAAGTGTCTAGGACATGACGGTGATGATGATTACTGTCATCATCTTCAGCATGCACAACACCATGACTAACCTCTCCTCTCTTTAATGAAATATTTGGAAAACTGGCATCTAAATTGATTTGAAAACTCTGTGGCAACTTGCCCCCTTGGGATATTAGGGTTCACCCTCCAAGCCTGTGTAATTAATACTTCCTATCAGACAAATGTTGGACGATTTAGTTGCTGTAGTTAGTTAAGTCAATCTTAGCCATTCAGCTTTTTTTTTCCCCAAATGGCATTTCTGAACTTTAATGCTGCATTTATACATGTGAAGTGATATGAGGTTTGTTTCATGTCCTGATCTCATGGCTTTTGTTTGGCTTGTGTGGGAGGTTTGCAATGAGTCACAGCCATCTAAATAGTTTTATCATCTTATGCCACAGCCCCCACAGATCCCACTGCTCAGGTGTGTACTAGAAAGCCAGGAATCAAGCAGTGCATTAATTCATTTTGTGTGAAAGTGTGTGTGAGAGAGAAAGACACAGTGTATGTGGCTGACTCCTGGGCCTGTTTGAAGTGGCTTTGTGCTTTGAAGTCATCCTGGAAAGGCCGTAAGCTCCGGGCTCAGCCGGACCAAAGTGGGCTTTCATGAACCCAAACAAATTCTTTTGTAAATGAGTTCCCTTGTTACCCTGAGTGCCATGCATCATCTGGGATCAGTAGGCTCTGAAAGTATTATGTTAATGAAATAGCTTTTGTCTTAATTATTTCCTACACAGATTTTCCAGTACCAAAACTTAGTGCACATATGTATTTCCTAACTTGAATGAATTTGAAATGTGAGATGATGAATCATGTGCCGCTCTAGCCACAGGACTGGGCTGTTGTTTTTAATACACAGTGCTTGGATTAAATTCTTTCCAGGGGCTGGTTGGTGTAAATGGAAGCACTGATGCTGATCCAGACTTAATGCTTATTAAACCTAATGACCTTATTACTGTGAAACGGTTGCAACAAAGCACAGTCTAATATTTAGTGTGATGGGCAGATAAAAGTGTGCACTGAAACCAAGATGACATTTGATTTGCAGTATTTTGATGTCATTTTGTGACGTTTCTCTCAGTGAAATGTAACAAATTCATATTTTAATACATAAACAATGCATGTTTGCTAGCTGAAATTCCTCAAAGCATTATGCAGTCCACAACTGTCTGATATAAATAAATCATCATGAATCCAGATTTCCTCTGAGGACCTGTAAAGAAATCAGACTGTCTTGGCACTAATGCCAACACAACCAGGATTTATGAGGTTACAGTAGACCACTACAGTCCAACCATTGCGTTGGAGGGTTGATATAACTGACCTATCTATAGGTGCGTCTGCAGGTATAGTCTATATACCTGAGCAAGGTTATGATTATGATCTCTTATGATCACCTACCTTCTTAAGACAAGCCATCCGCGGTCGATATCTTTGTCCATAATCCCGTAGAGTGTTTCTAATGGTCATGTCAGATGCTTTTCACTTTCTCTCAGACATACATGCAGCACCAGTGTCT